GGCTTTCCTCATAACAGCCGTCCCTCAAGAGTCTCTCCATCTAAAGCAATGCTTTACCAGGGACTGTAACATCGAGTCCTTTTACTGAATCTGATTTGTTGTCTTCACCCTCTGAGGTCCAAAATATAGTGAAATATAACCGTCCATTTGAGTTTACATTTGTATTTCACCTTCAAATTGTTTCATTTCATTTTTCTTCCTAGCCTTGCTTGGTATCATTCTTTTCAGCACAACCTCACGTGTCTGAATTTACAGATAGTTTTTCACTGCCGTACTGTAGTAACACAACAGATCTGAAATCACACAAAAACATAAAATCCTACCAGGAGTTATATTTGTCTTACTGTAAAAACCACAGACATGTTTCGTGCGTGATTTTTTATAACTTGAAATGCAAATATAAATTGTACATTTTGAAAACTATGTGTGACACAAATTTGACACCAGTTTTGTAAACAATAAAGTTATGAACAACTATTTGTCTAAAAATGGAGCCAATGCATCTGGCGGGTGTTTTTGTACAACCATTTAAAAAAAACATCCATCCATCTTCTTCCACTTTACCCGGGGCCGGGTCGTGGGGGCAGCAGCCTAAGCAGAGAATTTATTATATTTATTATTTAAAAATAACACTATAACTAAAATGAGAGAACAATCAGGTGTCACAATAAGATAATAATAATAATGGATTGCATTTATATGGCACTCTTCTAGGCACCCAAAGTGCTTTACAATTCCACTATTCATTCACTCTCACATTCACACGCTGGTGGAGGCAAACCACAGCTGCCCTGGGGCAGACTGACAGAGGCGAGGCTGCCATATCGTGCTATTGGCCCCTCTGGCCATCACCAGTGGCCACCAGAGGACCAACACCAGTGGCCACCAGTACCCCAGAGGTGCCAATGGTGCGATATGGCAGCCTCACTTCTGTCTAGGGTAAAGTGTCATGCCCAAGGACACAACGACCAGGACAGAGAGCTGGGGGATCGAACCGGCGACCTTCCTACACAACCAAATCCCACGTGTTGCCTTTATTTGTTATTGGTCGATACGGTACATTTTTCCACCAATAGGAAAGAGATGGCTGTCCTTTTTTTTTTTAACCATTTCACACTAAACGTGATAATAGTGTTCAGAAAAAGGATGGCTTATATTGTTTTTAATCATAACTCTAGATTTAGTGGCCTGGTATTAAAATGTAAAAACTGATGTATACTTTCAACTCACTGAAATAGTGGCTGCAGCTTGTTGCTGTGTTAGCTTAAATCAGTCATGTGATTTGGAGGTGCAGCGTGAGGGTTAATAACACTCACCTTCATTCCATTTCCAGAGTGTAACAACCGACCACCTGTGTGTAATCTGAAATCCCCATGGTGAATATCCCCCCAAAATGTGCTCGGGGGGGATAAATATGCAATATAGCTAACAGCTAACAGCAATATATTCACTGTCAGCTGTATCTGGCCTCAAAGTGTAAATACTATTAATACCTAATAAACAACACTCTCACATGCAAACCTAGGAAGGCCCCAGTGGTGGCAAGAGTTCATTTTGGGGTTGCACATGCCGCCCCTCTAGATCCGCCCCTGACGAAACGTTTCTCCCCCTGAAAACGTTATTTGGGGTTCCTGTAAATCATGAAAAGTGTTACTACTTTAATATTCAAGTCTGGGTTTTCTATTTCAAGGTGAAGTGTTTGTTGCGTGCAAAGCAACTGGGGTACAACAATACCTGATATATTGGTGTCATTTAGGTGCTTACATCCAAGCCTTTACAGGTTTGCTGCAGGGTACTCGTATACCTGTGCCTCTTGGTACTGAGGAGAGAAAAAAATATAGTATTTCTAAATGAAAAAAGTCACCAGGTGTTTGGCATCCAGGGGCAACAAATGAGTACAGGAAGGCTGCCCAGATTGAGTAATTAACATATTTCTTAGTAAAAATGGACTGGAAACTATTTCTGCAGTTTCTACAGAGAAGGAAAACAGAGGTAAATATGTTTACACTTCAAACTAAATTTACTAAAATGAGGTAAAATGACACAGGGATTATATTTGGTGATGTGAAGCTCATTTTTTCTTCGTTACACATTTTCACTGACTGTAATGCTAGCTTAGACCGCCAACCTTTGGGTTACAGCTAGTTAGCTATAAGCTAAGCACAACTAAGTTTGTCAGCATGAGTTTCCAGAATCGTTATTAATGTTGATATTGTGTAAATAGAGAAATAAATCCTATATGCTGGGCATTGCCACTGAATGAGTTTGTGTTAAACACTGAGATTCATAGCACAGTAGACACAGCCCAGAAATGGCTCCCTGTTGCTGCAGATCTCGGTGCATACTGCCACATGCTGTCCCTCAAAGTGTAAAAACGTGACTTTAAAATAAATAAGCTCATTTGTATGTGCAGATATTAAACCCCTGTTTGAAATAGGAGTTATCTGACTCAATTCAGCTTTATTTATACAGCACCATATCATAACAACAGTTACCTCAAGGTTCCACAATTTCTTCTAAAAACAAAGTAAAAACGTTGACACTGTACAGTCGTGACTTCAGACAGGGAAGTAGCTGTTTCAGTGCTATACAAAAGTGAAAATTGTCAAGGCTGGAACGACCAGCACAAAGTTGGGACTCAAAAGCAGACACAATAGGCAACAAGTGCAAAGCTTTATTGGACAGACGAGACAGGAGTGGAGCCCACTGCAACAGAGAGTCAAGGTGAGTCTATTAACTGGCAGAAGTGGTTGCACGACTGATTCTCTATTAATCAGCTGCAGGTCTTAGCATTTTCATAAAGTTTGGCAAGATGACACCTGATCTTCTTCTGGAAGTCCAGCGGTGCTCCCTTTAACACAGGGAGTGTTAGTTTATTACAACTCCACATGATCTCATAAAGTAAGCCTATTCCTTGCCCTCACATTTTTTTGTTAATCCTGTGTTCATTGACCCTTTCTTTCTTTAAAAAGTTTAGATTGTTTATGTGCTTATTGTTCTTTTCCTTTTTTCTTGGGTTGGGGTTATATATTGATATGTGTGTGTGTGTGTGTGTGTGTGTGTGTGTGTGTGTGTG